GTATCATTGGCGTTTTGGGATTGCGCGAACTTATCCCATAATTTCGAAATATTCAATGCTAATCGCGTGAATCAGCAGTTATTTAGAAACTACCAGTCACGTACATACAGGCATGGTCGATAATACCAAGAGGAAATTATCCAAGTTTCCAAAATACTGACGTATAGTATCGTGAATCGTGACTGTCGTAAATCTTACGAAAGAAATTTGCTTGCTTACGAAAACAATCCCAGGATAAAGTAAGCAGCCTAGGAGGCAGAGGAGAACTAAGGTAACGCATAGTTAATGCGAATTCCGCGCGGTAAAGTTTTATTAAATTATATTCCACTCGGCGAATTCAAATTATCTCGAATACTGCGCCTGCGAGGGCATGCGTATATATATCATCTAGCCGAGAGAGACATGTTTGTGTGCGCATATGCCGGGGTAAATCATGGAAAGTGGACTACGCAGAATTTTCCTCCCACATTTTTATTTCGCGTGCAACGTCGAGTATCGCTGGACGTACAATATCGTGATATACCTCCATATAAACGTGGATCGAGGAACAAAATTCGTTACAAGTAAAGCTATTAACCCCGTAAAAAAGCTTCTGAGAAACAAATTTTTTTCGAAAAATTATACGACGTTTTTAGAGATTGATAAATTTTTAAACATACATCTTAAATCTTTATATTTTTTATTGATTAGAAAATTGTATAACTTGATGAGAAACTGTTTAAGTTAAGTTAATTAGTTTGCCTTTTATTTCCATTGCATCGCATGTGTGATAACAGAGTACTATTTGCTTGTTGCACGATTTATTCTTTATGAATTACTTATACATTCGGAGTATTTTTGGAAAAGCCAGATTTATTTTTCGCTCCTTTTCCTTTCTATTTTCTTTCTATTTCTTCAGTCCTATTTTCTCGAAGATTTCTATTCCCGAGATTGGCATTCTTGCGCACTTCACGTGAGAGACTAGTGCGAATCAGCCCTTTCCATCAACCCTTCCCTCAACGGTCCATTGCGATGGCGAGAATGCGGAATTGCGGCCGGTAAGGATGTGCATTTCCCCGCTTAAGTTTAAATTGTATATTCGAGGAAATGCTTCGCCCAACTATTCGAGCAACTTTTAATACGACTGCCGCAAAGTATGATAATCAGTCGAGTTTTCCGTTTGTAAATGGAAATATAGAGGCAGGACAGACAATTCCTCGTTTGATATTAACTTTTTTTTCAAAAGATATGCTTTGTGGATTCGATAAGAATAGAAATTACAGTTGCGAGCGACAAAAATACTTTCTGTAATAGTCTAACATTAAGAAGATGCTTATAAATGCGCTGCATTTATAATTTTATTATAAGAGAGATTTTTATTATAAGAGAGATTTTTATTATAAGATATCAGAGACTCTGGAGCTAATTTGGTTGGAGCTATTCTATTTCTAAAGAGTTTAAATTTCTTAAAAGTTTAATTATTTAAAGCAATATTAATATAACAATTTGTATCTATCTTCAAAATGCTTAATGACAGCGATTTGTCGCCTGTTACCAGTCACGTCGATCTTGCATTCGAAAGAAACTAGTCCGAAGTTGATTTAAGAGTCTTAATTGGGCGGACGCGAGACGACGATCTCGCAAATTAGTGTCGAGTGCAACCTGTTGCTGGGACAGGACAGGATTTGTCGTTCGGTTTTAAGCTATGACAATTGAGTTTACTCCGAAGAGAGAGATCACTCACCGTCTCGCGCTTTTTACTCCAATCATTCTTGCCGTCACGTAGCTGGTAACGAGGATCTCGTTAGTTGCTAACGAATTGTTTGGATACAATCGCGCGAAACCCCCAGGAACGTGCTTCTCGCATTCATTAACATTCGAATCAGGCCGCTTGGATTCCAAATGCTTTGATACCGCGGATTAAGTTGATTGAATCGCATTATATGTGCGGCTCTCTGAAAATGAGATTAACGGATGGTCGCGTGGATAGAGAGAGAATAAGAGAGAGAGAGAGAGAGAGAGAGATTGCAATAATATTAGGTATTTCATAACTTAGAATGAACAGTTACAAGAATAGATTTTTATAAAAAACTTAAACACTGTCTCGGATTATTCGATCTGTTATTAAAATCGTAAAAAATTTATTAGCACCGTAGAAAATTGAAGAAAAAAATTTTTTATCACGAGGAGATATTATAAATCCTATAAAATTACAAATTATGATATTTAATTTCGCTTGATATATAATCAATGATATAGAATATGGATATATGATCTCTTACTCCGTGGAGAATAAAAGTTTAAATGCGCAAATGGTATACATAAAATACATAATTATTAGTAATTTTTTAAATGAGATATAAAACGAGATAAATTAATAAAAAGGATAATAAACATTAAAATAATATATAAAATTAAATTTGCCAAATTTTATTTGGTTCCTATTTTTAAATACAAGTCTATTCGTATCTTACTTTTACCGATAAGTATATACGTTTAGAACATGTAATAATAATTACATGTTCTATTACAATTTACATTATATATAGAATCTCTTATATATAGAAATTAATGCGCACATTTATCGATAAAAGTGAAGTAAATCAATATACATTTTGAATATATATTTGTATGCTTATTATAATAAATCTATTTTGTTGTAACATAACATGTGGTTGTATAACGAGTATATACGGTTAAGCGAAAATTTGTACTTACAAAGAACATCTGTCACAGTTAAGCAAAATATAGAATATTATAATCGCAGAACATTTAATCAAATTTTCATTTATATTTAATATCAATATTGAATATTTTATTTGATGTTAATTGATAATAAAATATCTAAAAGTAATTATTTGGAACATTTTCAGATTTAAATAAGATAGATGAATTTGCAATTTCTAAAATTTCATTTATTTTATTTTTATCAAAGTATTAATAATACCGACATTAATTTTGGCATCATCAGGATTATTATAAGTATCAAATAAATATATTTTACATTATAATTAACACGTACTTCGACTTAACTAATAATGGTAAATAATTGTATGTATATTATTATCACAATAATTATAAAATTTTTAATATAACAAAAATATTTTTGCAACAGCTCAGTTAAATTGAAAATAATCGGCTATTTGTGCGATGTTATTTTCGAAAAATGTTTATGTCATATACTGGTAATAACTCTTATTCTCTTGAGGTCAATTCTTGAGAACCTAATAGCATTAATTCATAAGACTTCCGGATTTTCAATAAGAGCTACTATTTCCTTGATATCGAGCATTTCAGTATATTTTCTCGATAATGGAGATAAATAAAAAGATAAAATGATAAATGGTGCTCACAGAAAATTTTTTTACAATATATATACAATATATATACAATATATATTCTCAGCCAATTCCTATTTTATTTTAACTCTATTATGTGACGTATATAGTACGATATGTCACATATATTAATATATATTTTTTAACATAAAAATCAGCTACATATTTGTTATACGTACGAAGAATACTTGTAGAATAATAAATAGCGTGAGACGAGATTGATGCTTAACAATATCGTCATCGTGACAATGTATCAAAAGAGAAACAATTAAAACAAATGAATAACTTGATAGATAGACAAGTAAAAGATGGACAGATAGATGGACAGATCCGGTTAAAAACTTCATTCGAACGTTGTACAATACATTGGATCGATAAGAAACTGTATGAGCACATCTCGATCATATTCTCTCAATTTCTCTGATTTTACCAAATATCAATTAACTGATCTCAACATTGCAGTTGTCTGACTTTGACATAATTATTGCTAAATCTTCTCTCAGCATTACATTCACGAGCTCGTAATCTGTACGAGTCAGCTTCTGTACTTGAAATGTTTCACGAAACTCCAGTTCAATACTAGTCATTTTATTCAATTGAAACAATCAACCCGATTGATAAAATCAGTTAATATCCATGTGTCTTTGTTTTATTACTTTTAATTATTGCATTTTCTTTTTTTCTGTTATGTTTGATGCAGATGTTATATTTTTGCTGAATAGCAAAATAATTTTTTTAGAAATTTTATACCTCTGCTTTTATAATATTCCATAAACTTTAATGAACATCAGTACTGGACGTCAAGTACTGATATATAACAAAAGTTTTCATAATAGTATTTTTCGGAATACGCACAATTTTTTCATATTATGCCAGTATTACTATACGGAAAGAACGATTTTGCTAAAGTATCTAAAAATTTAGCTAGATACACATTTGAAAATAAATTTATTGGATTATCAAAATAATTACGCAGGAATCTTAAGCATGATGAATAATACTATAAAAAAATTCTTGCAATTAATTTGAGCATCCTACATAATTCATGGTTAAAATAAAATTATTTTCTCAGATCTGTATCTTATTAAATTTTTATTAGATAGGTACTCTTCAGCAAAATCTTTGCGTGTATTATTATACATATATACGACGTTATTTTATAAGAACTTCTACACAAATTTGTTTATGATTATCTCGAGTAATAACTTGTAAATATTATTTATATATAGTATTAGTATATAAATATGAATTATAAATTTGTTGATTGTAAAGTGAGTTCTATACATTTAGATATCATACACATTTAAAAATAACATTTGTAAATCATCACTTGAGGCGATTATAAATAAATTTGTGTAAAAATTTTTATAACATAATATTTTATATATGTATAATAGTAATAATACCTATACTTTTTATGCCCTTGAAATATATCAAAATAACTTTGGTCTTATTTACATTTTGCATTCATAGTAATAATGTGTAACAATTCATTATGAACTATAATATATAACAACAAATACTTTTATTTGTTCCAGCAACTAAATAAATTTCTACGTAGGATCTTACAAAGCTTAATTAATTGTATTACACTATCTTTAAAAAAAAAAACTATTTACATATAGATTACATAATACTTTTTTAAAGTTCTAAGATATGGTGCGTCAATTAATTTACGCACTATATATGTCTTTCTTTCAAAGACTCATGTATCTTTGAATGTATTTCTATTTAGAGTTTATTATGACTGAATAACTTACAATATGTCCTCCTATGATAAAATACTTGGCACCGTCGAGATATTTCGAATTTCCTGACACGCGAGGAGGAGTTAACAGAAAGAATCTTTTTCGTTTTTGCGGTAAGATATCCATATTTTCACGTTTCATCAAAATATAGTCTTCGTAATGTAATCTTTCTCTATCTAGAGAAAAAAATGTTCAAGTGAGTTACTGTCGCAATCACTGATAAAGATTCTGCTGATAAAAATCCTCCACCGTGAACATTCCTTCCGCGTATGGACTATGCGCCTTCGTCTTCACCAGATGAAAACCCCGATACTTCCTATTGACATCCTCACCCATCAGCACCGCGGGAAATTTGGGCGGACAGAGACCCAGAAGATAAGCTACAAAACCGGGACAGGGCCAGCCCCAAAAACCGACTTTCGAGTTGATCGATTCGCAAAAGTACTCTGTCGCCCTGTGGTGGTTGCATCCGAAGGGATTTCCATGTTCCCAGCAACCAGGTTGATTGACACCACCATTCATGTAAAAGTCAATATGACCGCTCGGTTCGATTTTGCCCTGAATGAAGGCATTCGTGTGTAACACGTCGACGAATTCGGCATCGCTCGAGTCAAGCTTCTCGTCCTTATTGACGGTAATGAAAAGCGGCATTGCCGGATCGAGACCGGTGATTCTCGTAAGTTTGTACGGTCGTAGTACGTTGGCCGCGAAAGCTGGAACATGGGCGCCTAAACTGAAGCCGATCACGTGAATGTCCTTGGCACCGTAGTCTCTCAGACGGTCAACCAGCTGTGCCAGACAGTCGCCCACGTGAGGCACGTTGTGGACAGCTATGGGGTAACAAGGTCCTATCGCCAAACGGTGCCAATCGATCGCTATGACATTGTAACTGGCCCTCTTTAAGTACTCGTTCTTAACATCCACCAAGTAACTTAGCTGCATATCCGAATTGTAACCATGAACGATAATCTTCGTAGGCAACGCCGCTATGAAATTGGTATCGGCAAGATTTGAGCTGGTGTCGTTCACAAGTAATTGTTGTCCCTCTTCTGGATTGTGTTTTGTAAAGAGAAAGAACGTCACTTCTTCGTCGGGACAGGTCTGATTAATATTAACTAGACAGGGTCCCACGAAGAAATCTTTACCGATCTGATCATCTACGGTATTGCTCACGACGAAGGTCTGTGTATTCGCGGCCGCGAACTTGCAGACTAACAGAAGAATTGTGCAAATCTTCCAGGTTGGTGAACAACCAGCCTGGTTGATGGTTGTCATCTTAGATCCGTCGAAAGCTCCACCTTGACCGTGATATCGTGCGAAGGTACGTCTGCGAATGATTCCAAGCGACTGTCTAGCGGGAACTGGTTGTTGCAACGACTGGTCGATCGATACGGGCGAAACTCCGTGATAAAAGAGCGGCACGTACTGGACGAGCCTCGACGAGCTTGGAATCCCTAAAGAGCACCGCCACACGCGGCGACGTTTTAACAAGAATGTTCGGTCAGTTGTGAATCGATGCGCGCACGAGGTGAGTCACGAAAAGTTAATGCTGTTATCTTTAGTGATATGATTCAAACATTGAAAATCTTTCCGAAAAATTATAGTTCTACTTTCGATAAGAATTCTTCAGAAGATAAAGCAATGAAAAATTCAGATCGTTTCGATAAAAATTACAAAGAAAATTTGACCTTTGAATTTTTGTTCTGATAAAAAAAATTCTAGTCTTTATTGACTCAAAAGATTATGAATATTTCACGTACACTTAGCTTTTTGATTTCAATAATATAATAGAGTAAAAGGTAACGCATCCCCGTTTTTTATGTAATTTTTATTGTTTCAATTATATTTATGTAATCCAAATTTTATATAATATACATCTGATTAAAATAGCAAATCAAATCATTTAATTGAAAAGACATATATTACGAACTAAATGTGATAGTAAAGCTCTTTCTCTATATTCCTACAAAATGTTGTTTTTTCAGATTTATTTGGACTTTCCATAAAGTCTAAATAGCTTGAATTTATAAAAAATTCTGATTGTATTGAGATATTATCAGATTCAGAAGTTTCTTTTCATGAACACGGCTAACAATATTCTCCAAACAATATTCTTACGTTGATCCTGTCGTCGTAAATATTTGTCATCTTTTCTCTACTTCGCGAATAGAGACTTTTTAAAATCATTTTAAAATGATAAACACAAAGGTAAAATATTTTTAACAAAAAATACCGCTTTACAATGTATTTTTGTTAAAAACCTGAAGCCCACATCACTCGCTTTTGAGGAAACCCTATACTATACAGAAACCTTAACAGTTTACATTTAATTATATTCTAGTGAAAATACAGTTAATCAAGCATTCTTATTTATTTAAAATAGAATAAAACTTTAACAATTAATTTAAGATATAAACTTGCTATACTTAAATTTTAAATCACACACACGTCAACCTTCATACTGAAAATCATGTGGAAAAATTTGAATATATCTCCTTTAATATACCGTAATAAATAAACATCAATTGTCAATAAAAAGGTCGCACCAATGACGCCAATTGTTTCACAACTTTGATCTAAAACCGGAATCAGACTATGCATTGAAGATTGAGATTGAAGATTGAAAGATTGAAATATGATCAATCAAAATAATAGGAGTTAAAATTCCTTTGTTCTCATTGGTTTCAATCTTCAATCTTCAATCTCAATTTTCAATGCGTAGTCTGATTCCGGCCTAAGAATAGATTAAAAATCTTTTGGAAGATATCAATTATAACAAAAATTTTAAGTGGAGTTCACATTACTTTTTTCTCTATATAATGATAAATTGATATGGGACGACGCACATTAAGATATACTAACTTTATGATAAAATATCAAAAGATATTAGGAATTATTGTTTATATAAGAAAAGAAATTTTGATATTTATATAATAATGTTTGACATCGCGAGAAAAGATTATTTATGACGAATACACCGATCAATCTATAAAATTGAATTATTATTTTCTTATAAAAATTACGGTATTCTTTTTACCGCTCACCACTTTATACGCAAAACAATACAACTCCGCGTAGGTCGAACCGATGACGAACTAGAGCACATTGCACAATGTTTCACTGTGCACTTGTACGTTATACAAGCATTCAATAGTCGTGATACATTTCACGGAAGAGATTGGTTGATTAAATGTTTGATACTGTTCGTTTGTTACAATAGTATGATAAAAATTCCAACGGTGATATCATCAATAGAGTGATAGTGCAAACGTGACTGACGAACAAACAATTCGAGAATGATTACGACAATGGCGATGGATCGATAAAAACTTAGGTGCACGATTGGCAGATTAGAATACAGGAGATGCAATGGCACGTGAATTGTAATGGTACTCACCTCTTGTAGGACAAATTGGGTATTTCCGAGGTACGCGTGTTTCCTTAATCGCTACTTGTCGAAATTGCGCGCGTCAATATATCGGCAGCGAAATTTGCTTGTGCTAAATAAAAATTTTCTCACCATAGTAGATACTTAAAATTCTAACTTGTATGTATTAGTAGAGAGAGAATTCAAAGTAATAAAAACGGCGATAACTTTAACGATTAAGCGATCAAATTCACTGTAGTTTTACCTGCATAAAACTTTCTTTCATTTCTTTGTTTTATAACCAACGTTTCTAATCTTTACTTCATAAACTTAACGTAACTTTGAAGCAGCCAATCCGATTTTGGGAAAAGTGATTTGAAAGAAAAATATTTTATAGATTTTTATGCTAATTGAAAATGATATATTTTATTCTTATGATATTTTAACGATGAGAAAAAAGTTTTGAGCTTTTTATTACTGCTGGACAAAGCAATTAGAAGTTGATATCTTACAGTACGGATACGATAACATGTATCTGCATCGCGTGACTAACATCAATGACATTGAAAGCTGCTTTGAATAATGCGCTAACTTCCTGTTACAGCTCGAGTCTCATTTGCAATAATTATTCGAGATTGTACTACTAAATATCATCGAAACTCGAAATAAGTATCATCGATCGTTTCAACACGAGTTCTTTATATAGGATCCGCGCATTTAAAACGCGCGAGAAGGTGAAATTTCGTTCGAATTGGCACGCAGCCTACAAACATATCAATAAACTTTCGCGACCGGCGAGATGACCTATGAATATTAATTGTGACCAAAAACACTTTTACATTCGTTGCTGTTACGTTCGTTATGATTGACTAAAAACTGTCCCAGTTATGTGTGCTTTTTAATGTCTAAATTATCAATATTATTCTCATAAGGAACCTGTCATAACTATTCAGAATCGACTTGATTCTCTTTGAAATAAATGTTGTTAAACACAAAAATTTAAGACATTTTTTTATATGTACTTTCTTATATCGGCCTAATCTGAAATTTAAGGGGTAAAACAACCCTTTTCAGGTAGAAATCAAATTTAACCCTTAATACACATCTTTGGATCATTCGTGTCTTGCGCATTTCTTTTCGTTGATTTATATACTACAATATTATATACAACAATTAAATTGGAATTAAAGTTTTTTAGAATAAAAGATAAGTTCATGGCGTGTTTAATTTGATAGACTTTCAGGATTTAGATATTCTGCTTAAATATAAAATTTTACTTTTCGATAATTTTTTTAAGTCAAGATCCGGAACGAACTTGTTTATATAATATACAAATTGAAAGAGAAAAGGAAAGAGATGGACGAATGCTCTCATTCGTTTCACCTACGTAATCCCCCTATGCCCAACCTCTCGTAAAAATTCTCCAAATGTAGATTGGTAGTCTCATTTCATACTGGAAAGTGCATCTGTATATGGATGGAAGTATGCATTTTATGTCTTGAAAATATAAATGTCCCAATGATAAGAGATATTCTATATTTGAATTTGCACTAGTTAGAAGGAATTATTAATTATATGATTAATTATCAAATATTTCGTATATCGAATATAATCGTATAGCATTTGCATATAAAAAAAAAATAAAGCACGAATAATAAATTTTGAAATAATTATAATTATAGATTATTACGTTAAAAAATTTATATAAAAGCAATTAATAATTAAAATTATCACATTGTACGATTGCATTATAAAATACTAATAAATAATAATAATGCAACGTAAAAATTGAATAAAACATTGCAATTTGGTTAAAATAAGAATTTTAATTTTGTCAGCAATATTTATTTTTGTATACTGGCTCGTTTTAATTTCCATCCTGCATTGCTTAATTACGGTTAAAATTGCAATTACCGTAGATCCTCCGTTAATCGTGTTACATATGAATTTTCAAAGAAAATCGATACCGAGTACAGGCTACCCCCAATTTGTGGTATGCAGCCTATCAGGCAATCATACTGCAATCTCCATTTTAAAAGTGGAATCCGTGTTACATGGACGAACGATAAAATCAATAGCATAAGCGGAAATACCTAAATTAGCTTATATGGCTTATACATATATTAGCGATCGAATTTGGTCCGTTTCAAAGTACACATACTCGAAATAGATGTTATCATATTGCATATAGCTGTATTAATTGCACGAGTGCATTAATTCATCAGTGAATGAATTAATTTCACTATAGTTTGTAAGCAAGTACAAATATCATTTTGCACATGCGAATCATTGTATTTCGACGTATTATTTTATTAATCTGCAGTTAAAAACTTAATGATACTTCGTGATATTTTTGTGATTGCTCATTCTCTTCGCGTTTTATCGTTCCGAATTTTAAGTATCATTTATTAATTATCGCGTAATTCAGTTACGAATGTCAATGTTCAGTTCTGTTACAGTTATTTGTTATTTATTAAAACATACATAAACGAGTCGCAGAACAGCGAACGAGGAAGCGTATTTTTCTATTTTCGCAGTCGGTCGGAACACCATCGACGAAGTTGTCGAGTCTTTTTTGGACCAAAGCCAAAGCCCCAATGATGTATCTTTTGCTTCCATTTATTCTATATTTTCCTCTGTATTCCCGAGATAGTAGAATATCGTAACAAGAGTGCACACGCAAAACTTTTAGTTAAGGTATGAGATATCGACATTTATTCTGTAAGAGACAGACACGATATATTGGAACATCTGTAAATAGATATTCTCTCCTTTTGCTGTTATACTTTCTCCAATTTTCAGAATACAATATATTATTTCTTATTATTTTACGACAGCAAGTTATTTTAAACTTTCTTGACGATACCTTACTGTTTTCTTGATGCGTTTGACAAATGCGAAATAAATTTCTCATTGATATAATTTTGTTTTAAGAATTTTTTTTTGTTATAAGAATTATTCAGACCATAAATAATGATTATAGTAAAAAATTTGTGTTATTTCCAAAGAAAATTTGCGAAATATCAAGTAAAATTTAAAGGTTGAATATTTCTCGTTTACTCGCAAATTTTATCTGAATGTGTACAATTTTCTCTATAAAAGGCGTACACCCGTAGAGATGTTATGAAAAATATTTCACGAATTTCAGTACATTTACTAGTATTTATGGTACATTTATTTTGAACATTTACTCCAAATTGTAATACAATACTCACTATATTGTTTCAATTTATTATTATTTTTACCGAACTTAGATGTGTCGATCTCAAATGTATTTTTAATTCGTGTTGCATCTGGATTGATTGCAATGTAGAATCGTATTATAATACGATTTTGAACACCTTCGATATGCACAGGATGTGTCGCGAGTTTTAATCGGACCGTGATAAATTTTGATTTCGAGTTAAATTCACGTCTATGTTGAAAATTTCCATCTAGCTATTACGACTTACGAAATTATTCGATTTTTATTCTCGAATGATTTTGGACGGAAACGTGATTGGGAGTGGCTCGAGTAAATATCGAATGAAATTCAACGAGAAGGCAGTAGGTGAGACGAAATTGCTGCATCGATGTACAAATATCTGCATGGGCGGTGCAGGTGCAACGCGCATGATATTGTACTGACTGACGCTAAATGCGTATTTCACAGAGTGAGAGTATTTATCAGAAATCTCGTAAAAATTTATCGTGAAGAGAACATCGTTTGCCGCTTTTAGGATGGACTTCATATTTGATAAGGAAATAATTGGTATAATTATGCTATCCATTATCAATATCTAGAACATTAACAATATCTAGAACATTATATAAAATGAACAGTAAAAAGATAATAGAAAAATATTTTATAAGTATTACTTCGGTAATATCATGAACATTAAAAATCATTGATTTTTTTCTATTTTATGTGTTTTATAATTTTAATTTCAATGAAAACAGTATTGAGTTACGAGAGAAAATTCCGATTGATAATATATTTCAAAGGAATTGAAAAAGGTAGCGTGGAAAGAGAGAGCTCGATCGAAGATTAAAAGATGTCTTAATTTCTGTGTCGCGAATAATTCAAACGTAACTGAAAGTGAGAGAGAGAGAGAGAGAAAGCAGAAATTAGAGAATGTTTACAGTACTTTTTTAATGCGGCAAACATTGAAATACATAACTATGAATTTGCAGTTTTTTCATTAGACTTATCGTACTTCCGGTTTTGTTGCGACGTTAGCGTTTGCCATATTCGAAACACGCTGTTACAAAAAATCTCTCTCTGTTACGCGCGTCGCTAATAAATCTTGGAATACGCAAGCGATGGTCGTGTTATCAGGCCGACGCGCTCCATTAAATCGGGATGACGACGTAGCAGCAGTCTTCTTTGCTTACATAGTTTCGCTTTCATCTGTGTGAAGGTAGCACTCTATTTTTAGAATTTCGATATAATTAATAGAATTTTAACCCTTTTCCAAAAATTTCAGAATTTTTATACAACTCGAAAAGAGTTCTGACAATTAAATACACAAAATGATTTGAAAATATTATTACTTATTAGTTTTCGTTAGAAAAATTATTTATATAGTCTTGTATATACATATAATCTTATATAAATTTATTATGTATAGTCTATATATAATTAATTTATATAAGACTATAGATATATTGTAATTCTACATACAGTTAATTGTATATAATCTTATATAAAAATTATTAATATTTTTTGTTATAAATCATGACTGGAATCATACTTTTTTCAATAGAATTCTTAAAGTTGTAAAAAATTTGTAAGGAAATTTGAAACTCTGAAAACATTTTTTAATTATTCGTATAACGTGAAGTATTTCTATTTCTGATACGATAATTATCAGGGAAATCTTTTAATTTTATTTTATTATCAACTAAAACTAAAATCAAATTATCGATTCGCAAAAAGGCAAGTAAAAGTACTGATCAAATAAATTTTATTATGCATGTAAAAGACAAATTATTTATACACAGAGAAAATTTTTTCTTAGAGTTTACCATGAAAATACGATAGTTCTGGGGCAACATTGTATTTTGAAGAATTTTATATAAATTTCTCTTATTCATTAATAAAACTACAATAAAATATAAAATAAATTTGATTAATTTTACTGAAATGCATGATAAAAATCTTTAAAATATTGTATTGTACTACAACTACGAATATTATATTTTCAGAGTAAATTTTAAAAGATAATTCTCTCTGTGTACAAAAAATATAGATCGAGCAATTAAACGCGAACAAATGCGAGTGAATTTGCTTCGATGCGAATAACGCCGCCACTCATTGTCAGTGAAACAAGCTGTTCATTCGCGTTCAGGTACTTGTTCTGGATTTTATTTAACACACGTTATGGTACCATCGTCGATAGTCTGCGCGTCAATAATCCGCCGAAAATGTATCACTTAAGGTACCGGTTCGTACTACCTGTGTGCAAAACTACACTTGTGGAGATAGACGTTGTTCCATTAATCAGCCGAAAACGCGTATTTCTCCAGAAATTAATTATCTGTCGTGCTCGTCTACCGTTTGTTTCGGATAATCGAATTTCCAACGCGACGCAGTTAGAGAGAGGCAGAGATGTATAGACTCTCGACTCGTATATTAAACTAATTTAAACGCGAGAGCGAGTTCCACTCTCGTTCTCATTCTCTCCCTTCCATTTTCTCTCTCTCTCTCTCTCTCTCTCTCTCTCTCTCTTCATCCTGTTTCTCGATTCTCGCAGTTAGTAATAGCAATAAACAAACGGGACGAACAAGCCGCGAGGCACGCGCTATTTGCTATCGATTACCGTGGGGCCAAAAAATAACAGCGATACACCGAATGGAATTGCGGCAAACATCGCGATACCGCGCGCTGGAAATGCTAGCCGATTGAAATCGCAGAAAGCCAAACGATATTATAAAACGAGCGCGAGTGGACCAAACGGCGGTATGGCGTTCGATCGCTTAATGAAAACACCAATGCTCGTTTTGTTCAGGTTTTTCCTTTTTTTTTTTACATCTGCCTCTATACTCTCTAATTTCGTTGCGCCGTCGCAGCCGCCGATATGCAATAGCAGTTACGCGTAAATAAATAACGGACGCCGTTGTAAGCGATGGAATATATCGCAATGGTCTATCGATCATCTCACTGCTTAATTATAGTAGCGAGTGGGATTCAATCGCGTCGATGGTTCCTGATTAATTCAGCGCTGACCGCAGATATTTAGGCCGGCTTTGTTCTGTATCGAAAGGTCGCAAGATCACGTAACAATGCCATGAATTCGTGTCATGAGATGTTTGTCCTCATTACATGTCTTAGTTATATTATATACTTAAAGACATGCTGCTTGTGTGAAGATGAAGATGGAACAGTCTTTACACTGAAAGAGTTTTATGTAAAAAAATCTAAAACATCAAGCGAGGCTAGAAAGACAAGATGTCGATAATAATGATGCGATTCGCTGCACGATTAATTTATATTGTGAAAACAATGTTATTTAAATATATAAATCGCAAACAGAGAACACAAATCTGATTATATTTTATGTAGCATAAAGATTATTATTCTCCGCATTTGTATAATCTTGTGAATAATCGTTAGTATTTAGTACTAATTCCGTAATAAATTTTCGTGAGAAAGAAAAATTTGAAGATTATATAGTAAAAGTAAAAGATTTTCAAAGAGAAGCCGCATATATTTTAACAAACTATAATACGATGTGTATATATAGTTATTTGGAGACTGGTCGAAAATAAAGACAATTATTTTAAGTCAAGAAACTATTATTTGATATAACAAGAATTTAACGTAATTAAATTACGTAGATAATGTAGTCGAGAAACATTTTGAATAATCGCGAGTATTATTTAACTTTCTGTCCGCAAATGAATTTAATGGTCAACCGCGAATATTTGATTGACAGATGCGGATTCAAATGCATCTGTCAAATCTAATTAAATTAATTAATTAGAATCGTTGTCATGGAATGAGATGACGTGCAGAAGTACGAGGTAAACCGCTACGCAATCAAATGAAAAGTAAACACTACATACGGGGTGTTCGAATGAGATCAGCATAATCGAGTATCAGCACGCAACACAAAATGACAGTGCATGATAATGGAACATTTCGTAAATTGTAATTATATCGTCATAATTCCAAATTCGGCATAATCCTTCGTTATTATATGTAATTCGTTGTTGATCCGCAATAATGCTGATAGATAATGTATATTAATTAACATACAATACACAAGAATTTAGATACAACACACATTATATGTGTTGTTTATAGTTAATTATACAATAATAAAATTATTATAATATATCAAATAAAAACAAATCTTATTTTTGGCCAAAATCTATCTTGATCTTAATAATATTTATAGAGAGTATATTGTAGATTTGCAAACATAATTTTCAGTTCTATATAAACGCGCACCGATTCGATTTGAAATGCAATTATAAATTGAAACTGGAAGTGTGGAACATTGCAAATTACATTGACTTTTAGTTTAATAATGGTTAATAAGTATCTTCAAGAATTGATTATAAAAAAATATTACTTCAACCAGAATTTGAATTTTGAAGTTTCTCAATTATTCGGAACAAGCGTTTCACCAATTTGATTTTCGGAGTAAAGATATTTGTTATAATAATTAATAATTAATTTAAGAACGTCTCATTTTTTAATAAGACGTGTATAAATAATTATTAGTAGCAATTAAATCGATATCAATAAAGAATCAAATAAAAGAAACATCAAGATCAGCTTTAACTGAAAATAGAATTCTTTCTCTTACTTGATTTATTCTTGTCGATCTAATTTTCACTTATAATCGATAGAATAAATATTTTTAAAACATTTATTTGCAAAGTAAAAGGCATTTATTAAATATAAAAAACACTGCCTATTTATACAACAAACAATATACTTTTTACAATAAAATATTCAAAGTTTGGTATATATAATTCTTGGTTGAAACGAAGAATTAGTAAAACGCCCTAGATTTTGTGCTAAATATAATACTATTACACTCTCGATTACCAATGAAATGCCATTGATAAGTTGTTAATTCATGAAAAATGATATCGACTTCTGATAAAATGATGTTTTAAAAGGTTTGTTTAGAAGAACATGCTGACACACAGATACGTAATGTTTTATATCGAACTGGTCAGAAATAACGTACTGACGTTTATGACCTCTTTTCTACATAATATAATGATGGTGAGACATAATGGTGTTCTGATGTACATGTGTGATAGTGTAAATAAATGAATATTTTATGCCCGTAATCGCGAACGCGTGCGTCCTTTGATCATTGGCTCGACCCGTGCAGGGTGCAACTTTGTAGCAAATCGGCTAAATGCGCTTGCTAACATTCTCAGAGGAAAATTAATTAATTTTATAATTATTAATGTAGTCTGCGTTATATGGAAACAGAATTACCATAAATACATATTTGATGTAAAGAAAAAGAATGTAATAGAGATTGAAAAATATGATTTAAACATAATTTATAGAATGATTTATGAACGTTTCAATTTTGTTTTTTGCAGTTGTTTTAACTTTCCATTTTTTAAATAATTAATTTTTCGTGATAAAAAGGAAGTTGCTTCTTCTTAAGTATATTATGTATATTTAAAAATATCCACAAATAAGTCATTTTCTTAATGAAATTAGCCTTCTCATGCAATTGACGATTATGTTTCCCAAGAATTAATATCATGTGGGTATATCTAAATTAAAATATTCTGAATTAAAATATTCTAGAAAACTTAGGGCTTTGCAGTTAATAAAAGCAATTAACATTGATCATTCAACTTACAAAAATTATTTTTACATATTTACGTGCGTATCACTATAGAATATATCGCTGTTTAGAGTAACGACATTACACAACCAGAGAATAAAAAAATTCTTTTCTCGTATTTTGAAGTAACATTACGCAAAGTAAAATCACACACAAAGAAAACGAGTAGCTAACAGTAGGAAGCAACCGACGAGTGGTTGCAGCGACAGCGACAACGAAGCGAATCGATCGTGTACGTGTAAGGGTGGTTTTTTGTGACTCACATGGGAAGCTGACTGGGGGATGAGACTGAGCATTGTGCGCGTTATGGGGATGCCTCGGGGTAGGAACACGCTGCCTGCAAAAGCAGAGAACCGCCGCCGTTACCAAGCCGCCCATGCTGAGTATCAGAAAAACAAGGGCGATGGCGAACCAAGTAGTCTGCATGCCTAGGATCGTCGACGCCTCGGAATCTGTAATTACAATGAAAAAATGGAATTAATCAGAAAAGTTAAACTTTTAAACGATAGATGCGTTTTAAATCGATCAAAATATAATAAAAATAACATACATGAAAGAGAAAAAACGCAGGATGGTAATTCTGTAAAGTTTAAATTAATTAATTTATAGATTAAACCTATGATTATAAAAAATGCAGAAAAAGTATTTAAACGAGTGAGAGACTTTCATGATAAAAGTTATATAACATAATATATAATCATCCCATAATTTTAATTAACTTTATAAAACGGGATATCTGCACAGTTTTAATTTTTATTAATTCTTATTAAAACAGAGATTCTTTGTTTATAATAAACAGCGTCTTACACTTTAAAGACGATAAAGAAAAGAGTAAAAGACAATAGAGCCAACTTCTTATTAAAGCTCAAAACACTTGATAATTAAGCGCGTTCATCAAAGTATCTAACCTGACGCGTGCACTTTCGTCGGAATCAGGAAATCGATATAACAATATGTACTTCATGTTTTACCTTTGTAGGGCACGATATCCATAAATAACGCGAATAATAAAATCTTTATGGACAATGTTAATTTTGGAATAAATTAATAATCGTTGCGATAATGATAAAGTAAATGGTATATGGTTGCTTTATTATTTATAAAGCACAAAGTGCGGTGCATAAAATGATAGAGAAAACTGCATAAAATAATATATAAATAATAAATTCCGAAAATTTCTGAAAATTTTTAAAATTGTTACAGAATTATGGTAAAGTTATTCTATTATGTCACTCGTATTTAAAAATTATTTGAAATCAAGGTACATGATATTGCTCGTTATATAATTATTACGAATTGTACGAATGGTTGCTAATTGCAGTCGAAAATTGTGACAGGAATATGGCGAATTAACAAAATATTAGTAGATACACTAAATTCCAGCAAGCGCGAGTATTATGTGACAAGTTTGTAATTTACTCCGTCGCTATTGCGAGTTACTCTTGGATATGTAATGAATACATGGTAATTAACCTCTTCAGATGTTGACGCATGCGTGCTGTCAACCATTAACGTAAATGTTATGTAAATTTGGTTCTCGCGCATTTGCAACCATTTCTCTTCCACAATTTTAATGTACATATAAAAATAAGGGAAATCTTTACATTTTGCCATTATGAACGCGTTTGATAAATCATTGGATGTATAAGTTCAATTATCCACAAAATGAGAAAAAAATGAAAACTCTGAGTTTTTATTTATCCAGAAGAATTAAATCTGACTCTCTATAAATGACGTGAAATTTATTTTATTTATTTAATAAATAAAATTATTATTACCGACACACAACACGTACATCCGCACACTATGTTTTATAAAACCATTTCTGCAAATGTGATTTACGAATTGTACGAATTTATCTCATTTTATCTCGAATTAAAATTATGTACGACTAACTTTTGGTTGTATAAAATATTTGTGAAACGTTTTAACGTTTTCGTTATTTAAAACTACCGCATGACTAACCATACTAAATCATATGAGATTATATCTTTATGATCTAAATCGCTTTACTCGTTAAATATAGCGTGTCTCAAAAGATATGTACACATACTTCCTTGATATATGATATGACTTGATGACGAACATATTGATTTCATGTTAACTATGTACGTTATTATCATTTATAGTGCTAATTATTATTTTATTTTAGTATTTGAAGCAATAATGAAACGTCGCGAACGATGTCTAACGATGAATTTTTTAGCAAAATAGGAAGATTGTAAAATATAAATTATCTTTTTAATATTTTGATAATATCTGTGAGATTAATTTTTAAGACTTGAATACAACCTTCTGTGTACTTAAAATTGCTAAGGATTATGTTGAAAAAATAAATTTGTAGTAATTAGAACTTACTGGCACAAAGGGTGGAAGTGGCCTCATCAGATTCGTCGCCGCAGTGATTTACGCCATCACAAAGAAGATCCGTCTCGATGCAAAATTCATTCTGAGTGCATCGAAAATCTTTGCAGGTGTGCTCTAAAAAAATGATAGAATATTTATTAATGTACGGAAAAAAATATTTTCATAACTTAATTTTTTTAAATAAACATTCGTGTTGTTTTCGCGTGAATTTATTCTGTCATATTCTGTTTTGGAAAAATATTACATTCTGTTTGCATCTCTTATCCAAGTTTATCTAATAAATATGCATGACAGTTTAATTGCTGTTACACATTGAAAGCTATTTACAGTGATAACAAGATATAATATATTTTCTTTATCCATTGTATACGGAAAATGATCTCATCGAAAGGTTGTGCACCTCTCGAGGCAAGTTCTCTTCTATGCATGACGGAACTTCAATGACAGGCTATTTTGAGAATGTGCAACCTTTTCACGTATAATGTTTCACGTAATTTTTCATAAGGCAGATATTTGTGATGTTATACACGTGATTATTTTAAAAAAAATAAGTTTTTTACAACAGCAAATTTCAAAGGATGGAAATAATTTTATGAGTAATTGTAAGAGAAACTATACTATATGTACTATATGTACAATGATATAATTGAATTATTTATGAGGAAAATTAATTTTTTTATACTGAAAATTTTAAGAATGGAAAATAAATTTTATATATATATAAAACGCATTTATATGAAAAATTAAAAAAGTGAAAGAAGTAAAAGATTTTATTTTTAATAATTTACATTTTTTTTTGTAATCTTTGAAAAAAAGCTTGACTAACATTTCCAATGTTAGAGATCAATTGGACAAAAATTGATTCCTGATTTTCTTCTCAAAGTACATTTGATTTTATTCTATCTTTATTTTATTCAAGAGAAAAAGCACATTAGCTAAAAGGAGGATAATTTAAAATTTAAACTGCACTTGATATATATTTAAATGGAACGAAACAAATCCAGATTGCTTCGAGTCGTAAGTACGTTATTGATAGTTTAATGAACAAAATGTCCGTGCAATGGCGGTTACAAAGAACAAATTTAATGAGATGTCTGATGAGATTGCCAGCTGATACGATTAATTAGCTGGCATGCAATTTGAATATCGGTCATTTGCCGAGTTACAGTCCATCGTGCTATTTAATATGAAATTACTAGCAATCGTAATTTGACTATCACTTTGCGGGGAAATTAGCCTCGATCCCGTGTGAATATAAAAGCAACTATTGATATAATTATAACGATGAATTCAAAGATATATTTGATATGAAGAAAAATTCGCATGCATGCGATTTAATTACGAGAATCCCTCAAAATTTAAATTGAGACATTGAGCTAATGACTTCGATAAATTTACTCTTTTGTTAATGAAATTTTGTGTTTCTATAAACATTATAGTATGCATGCATGTTGCAAATTAAATTGTTTTATATCAGATTTTAATTCAGAAAGGATCAATATACTTATTAATATTTACTTCCTCAGCTGATTATATAATAAAATATTATTTCTTCTAAACTGCGATTTGTGCCTCATAAATTTAGCCTTTCATTATATTAATTATACAATTTCTGTATATTACAAAATTAGTAGCACATGTATTTTGCTTTAATCTTGCGATAATATAGAATTAATAATTAAATTTGAAACTGTTTCATGCTTTACAATAACGGTATTTCAAATATTTGGTATTTACGCTTTAAAGCGATTTTCGATCGAGCGAAAAGAGCATTTCTGACATCGAGAGCATTCTTGGACGTCGAACCGTCGTAATTCTTGAAGGATCTGGTCTAATTACGGACCAACTCGTGGAATGTGAGTAATAACGAGTGATAAGTTTCACCGATCGTGAAAAAGCTCACGTTGGGCGGCAAAGACAGCGATTTTCCGCGTTCTCTCTCCCGCTGGCAATTATAACTCTTCGAGGATTTCTGAAATCGTAGAGAAGGTAATAAAAGAATCGACGACGGTTCGAAAGGATAGGGCGTACGACAAAAAGGCACACAGACGGTCATATGTAATTTTATGTAATTTAACAGTTGAGATTCCTTCCCTTCTATCCGAACTTTCATGATTTGCTGCCATTTGTGAAGTTTTTATTAACGTTCTGGCAAAAAGGTGATCCGAGAATAATAACGTTTAACAGCGGGAACTATTATATATCACGCTGAATTACATATAGAATTTTCATATGACATTCGAAAGTGAAATAATCCCGTTCTTTACGGATTTATCGAGAATATCATTTAATATTAATGATAATTGTTGTAAATGCATAATAACTACTATGTGACAATCACTTTCGGACGTAACGTCAACGTGAGAGAGAAAGTGAGAGGAAGGTGACACAAGAACAACTGTATGTATGGATATCCGCGACAGAGTCAATGTTTAACCTCTCGGATTGGCCAATCATTTAACGTTGGACGGTAGACACCGTATACATGCTCAAATATGCTCAATATGCCGACGAAATTAACAGTCGTGGCTAAGCAAACGGATGCGCAGTCACGCTGCACTGCTGATGTGCAGTAATACCAAGTGTTATGCACATTGACACGTGCGTGTATTCACATTTGCACAAGCTTATAGGCTCGATAGATTCGTATATGTACTGAGAATGGAAATGCACGTGGTACCTGTAAAGTTTGCTCGCTTCCATTCTCACAAAGAACAGAGGGATAGTAGACTTTTTATGCGTGCATTTTTAAATGCATTCTCGAAACAGTTTGACATAATTAGTAATCTCTTACGTAAGTAGTTACAATATATTTAATTATTAATGTACATTCTGAAATTTAAAGTTCAGAATATACACTGTTAAATTTATAATGTCAAATTATACACAATTTGAGTTATTTTTTATCATTTTTACAGCTCACTGCTCCTATTTAATATATCATTAATTTAACTACGACAATGGAATTAAATAATTAACGCAAAAGAATGTATTAAATTTCTAAAAGAATGTACTAAATTTAATTTAATTTATTCGCTAAATTTAATTTATTATTTACTAAATGCATACGTTCTTTACTTTGAAACTAATCGCAGAAATAGACTGATTTATATTTTACATATGAAAGTTAAAAATAACAAAATATTATTTAACTTATGTTGGATTATTATTGCTTCTTTGATATCTAATAATGTAATCAAGAAAGAGATATCTAAATACAATTAATGTATGAATTTTTTTCTATAAATTTTTCTATATTTTTTATTATTTCTGAACTTATTTGTTTGAAAATCATTCTGAATTAAAAATTTATAACAAAGTTTAAAAATTTATAACAAAGTTTAAAAATTTATAAAATATGTGTATTTTATAACTACATCTGCATTTAAATATCTAGTATGCTGATGGAAGAAGAGCGTGAGTTTGACGTTTAAAAATAAAAATATTAAATTAATTATGTTATTAAATAAAGAGATAAAATATCGAAGAGATAATTTCCATCGGGCTGTTAAAACTAAAGCGGAATTTACCTCTCGCCTGCAGGGAGGACTTCATTAAATTCTGTCGTGAAATATAACACTTGCATGCGAAAGCACGTGGAGGTGCCATGTCAACTTATATCGAAAAAGATTTCTATAATCTTTTGAGAGACATGCAATTCCGCAATCTGTGACGTATTTTGCGACTTTGTTACACTATAATAAAAGATACAGTATAACTTTTAATCGAATACGACACTTCAGACGTTTTATAAATATTATAGTTTTACAGAGAATTCTATTTTAATTTAAAGTACAGTGTTTCAGTTCTTAAATTAAAAGTAGACGTTTAAATATTATTGTAGATTGAAATTCTCGTAGTTATATTTTTGTGAAAAAATAAAAGATATTCCAGATTTATAATATAAATGATAAATTTAAGTGATATCCTATTATCCAACATTAAATTTAATTTTCTTTCTCCGGGTGATTATGTCTCATAATTTTTTACGAGTCTGGCTGTGCATTACGAACGTTTTCGTGTTTTGCCAGTGCCATTAGTAAGGGTGACGCTATGGACGGGTCCGTTTACGCATACTGAAACATGCAGGCCGATCTTTTTTGCACTTTACTCGCAAACTTGTCGTCAAGCTTGAAACAGAATGTTGCATTACCCGACATTGACGACACGACCGAGTTAAAAATGCGGAACTAATGGACTATAATTACGTTTTTCTCAATTGAAAAATAAACTAATTACATTTAAGTTACCAAAAATTTAACAAATATAAAATATTAAATGTTTTTTTAACGCACTAAGCTTGGCCTTGAAATTCATTTGTATTGTTCTATATGTAAAGCTATAACACTATCACTACAGTTGTCACTTCTTTGATTTTCAGTCGGAAAGTCTGGCTTTGGAATGAAGCTCTCTGGTGGAAAAATTTTTGGTAGGAGGGTCACAAGTGTTGCCATTTTTCCAGCAACTACGGCACCTTTCAGTACATATTCGACATGTGCGATGTTTTTCACTGGGTAGGTTTTGTTAGATATTTTCCCTTGTAAAAATTTTCGTAATGGAACAGCGGGGCTGTTGTCAGATGTTTCAAACCAGGGAGTTAGCTAACCCCGATTCGCATTTTGAAATATTTTGGTTTTAAACCTGAAGTTGATCTCAAGGGAATTTTTGTTTTAAACCTGGGTTCTCTCAGGGGAAGCAAAAACCAAAATGAAGGCGAAAATCCAAAATCAATACAATATTAATCGCATTCTTTGACACAAATAATTATTTTAATAGTATTTTGGATATTCAGGTAAATTGACTTCAAAATAACCTTCAAGACGAGCGTATTAAAGACTATTTTGAAAGATGATTACTGATGAAAGCTTCCAACTGTTGAAACATTCTGAGTAGTCCATTAAGGTTGGAAGGAAAACTATGTTGAAAGTTTTCATTAATAAAATTTATGTATCTTCATTTCTTGATTTTTCCTGAATTTAGTCTCCGAACTTTTTAGAGAGATCGTGCGTACTACCAGCCGTCCAATTCACTTATTTAAATTTTCAGAGAAAACGTAATATTTGATTTATAAGTTAATTTTTTATTTCAACACAAATGAATTTGTATTGAAAAAT